TGTCTTATCCATCTGTCATTTTCTCTCTAATTTTTAAAATCACCTTGCTTATTTGTTTTATTGTATTTTATTTTCTCATTTATATGGTGTCCATTCTCCTTTGTGCTGTTTGTCCTATAGTCTTAAATTCTAAAATGGTTTTTGTCATTTCTATTACTGGAAATAGAAGTGGGATTTACATATTTACAGCCTCATTCTGGCTGCCGTGTGCATGTGGGAGCAAGAGAGGAAGCAGAGAGGCCAGTGAGGAGACTCGTGCAGGGGTCCTAGGGTCCTAGGACAACGTGGTGGCTTGGATGTGGGGGGGTGGTGAACACTGTGCGAAGTAGCAGTTTGGTGATTTAGTTTGAGGTATGACTGCCACAATGTGCTATTGGATTAGATATAAGGTTAGAGGCCGGGCACCGTGGCTCCGGCCTGTAATCCTAGCACTCTGGGAGGCTGAGGTGGGAGGATCGCCTGAGATCAGGAATTCAAGACTAGCCTGAGCAAGAGCAAGACCCCGTCTCTACTAAAAATAGAGAAACTTAGCTGATTGTGGTGGCATGCACCTGTAGTCCCAGCTACTCGGGAGGCTGAGGCAGGAGGATTGCTTGAGCCCAGGAGATTGAGGTTGCTGTGAGCTAGGCTGATGCCATGGCACTCACTCTAGCCTGGGCAACAGAGCGAGACTCTGTCTCAAAAAAAAAAAAAAAAGATATAAGGTTAGAGATACAGGTACAGAGAAATCAAGCAATTGAAACACTAGATGGATGAAGGTGTCACTTTCTGAAATGGGAAACATTGGGGAAGGAGCAGCTCTGAGAGGAAAGATGAAGAGTGTGGTTTGGGGTGTGTTAACTTTGGGTTTTCTATTAGACATGCACTGAGAGAAGGCGATGGACGTTTCAGTGCGGAGTTAGGGGAGAGGTTGGGGCTGGAGAGAAAAGTCTGGAAGCCCTCAGCATATGGTACTTAAAGTCTTGGGACTGGAAGATACCACCTACAGCACGGGTCCCCAACTTGCTATGGTTTGTCGTATAATTATTTCATTATATATTACAATGTAATAATAATAGAAATAAAGTACACAATAAATGTAATCTGCTTGAATCATCCCCAAACCATTGCCATTGTCTTCCATGAAAATGGTCCCTGGTGCCAAAAAGGTTAGGGATGGCTGACCTACAGGGTGAGGGGGGAGAGAAGAAAGGAGGTGTGAGCAGGACCCCTGGAGCCTTCCAGCATCTGGAGCTCACGAAGATGAGCAGCAGCCCCTGAAGCCGGAAAAACAGGAGGCTGTGCGAGAGCCAAGAGGCCAGGACTGGGGGACTAGGCCATAGGGAGGGGCCTGGGGGACTTGTACTGTTTCCGGATTTCAGGGGGTTCGAGAGAAAAATAGATCTTCCTTTCTTCCCTCCTTCCCTCCCTCCTTCATTCCTTCCCTCTCCTTCCTTCCTTCCTTCCCTCCCTCCCTCCCTCCCTCCCTCCCCCCCTCCCTCCCTCCTTTCCTTCCTCCCTGAATTATTCAGTCCAAAAGCCATTGGTTGGGGCTGGGCCAGGCAGTGTCTATGGCTGGAAGTCAGGTGTTGAGGGGACAGCCTGGGACCGGGGCTGGAGCTTGAGTGGGTGAGGAGGGCATCTGTGTGTCTGTGTGATGGCAGCATCAGTAGGAGGTGGGTCACATATGGAGACTGCTCAAAAAGCAAATGCAGCGAGCATCATGGGGTTTGAGCTTCTCGCTGGTAGAAAAAGAGTTATAAATATAAAAAGGAGAAAATTAGAAAGACTCCTATGATGGAATTGGTCCCACCAGTGTAAACTAATGGCCGTATGTGTACACGCACATGCAGAGAGATAGATGGATAGAGAAATATAGATGAAAATCTCTGGGGAGAGACAGGGCCTGGGAACAGCGCCATCCAATAGCAAACAACACCCTGAGTACTCAGATCTTGGTCCCCAAATGCCATTTTCCTCTAAAAGGAATCAGAGTTCCCTGGAGAAATGACTGATGCTGGGCTAAGGCAGAAAAATTACAACATAAACCTGGAATATCTTGTTCTGGAGAGTAAGGAAGTGCCCAGGGACGCAGAAAGCCAGCCTTTCTCTGAGAGCTGGGCGCTCTCTGGTCAGATTTGGGTATATTTTGGCATCAACTTAAATAAAAATAACATATTATAATCCAGTAAATAAAATAGGAATCCATCCATGAACCTATACTGATAGAAAGGGAGAGGGGAGGACAGAGAGAGAGAGAGAGAGAGGGAGAGAGAGAGAACAAAGCTTTTTCTTATAATAGAACACCAACTAATAAATATAGGAATGATGGCATTAGAAAATTTGGCAGCCCTCCTGGTAATAGTGAACTCAGCCAAGAAACATCAATGGGTACTAAAACTAGTGAGTGGAAGTTTGAAGAGTAACAGGATATTACAGAGCTTCAAAATGCATATTGATTACCAACGGGGAAAGAGTGGCTTTCAGTGCCTGGCAGTCCCTACCTCAGTGGACTAATCAAGGGTAACATCATCAGTGTGGGACAAATTGAAGTCAGGTACCACCTGCCAGGACTCAGTGCGAAGAAGAACGCTGCATCACCTCTGCGATACCCTGCCAGAGTGCAAAACCAGAATCTAACCACGGGGACACGTCAGACAAATGCAAATTGAGGCACACTCTGCAAAATAACAGTGAGATGAGAAATGAAAGCGCAGGAATGGAGGAGGAGCTGATCTAGACTAATCTAAAAGACACAACAAACCAGTGCAATCCTGAGTCCAACCAACCAGCTCTAAAAAGGCATTTCAAAGGCAATCAGGGTAATCAGAGTACAGGCTGAGTATTAGATATTACCAAGCAATTCTTGCTAATATTCTAAGTGTGCAAAAGCCATTGCAATGACGTAAGAAAATGTGCTTTTTCCCCCAAATGCAAATTGAGGCGCGTGGAAATGAAATGACATGAGGTCTGGACTTGGCTTTAAAATACTTCAGAAAATAGGGGAGAGATGATGTAAAGAAAGACAATTTGAGAATTATTAAATCTGGGTAATAGGTGTTGAATTAGCTCTGGCTGTGTAATAAGGCACCACACACAGACTGGGTAGCTGAAACAGCGGAGTGCGGAGGCTGGAGGTCCAAGATCCAGGTGTCAGCCAGTTTGGTTTCTCCACCTCAAGGCTGCCTCCTTACCGTGTCCTCACATGGTCGTCCCTCAGTCTGTGTTGTTCATGGTCCTAATTCCCTCTTCTCATAAGAACACCGGTTATATTGGATAAAGTCCCATCCATCTGATCTCATTTTACCTTAATTATAATACCACTTTAAAGGCCCTGTCTCCAAACACAGCCACACTCTGAGGTACTGGGGGTTAGGACTTCAACATGTGAATTTTAGGGGACACAATTTACCCTATAACAGGTATATGGGGGTTTATTATGCCATTCTCTCACTTTGGGGAATATTTAATTTGCATAATACAAGTTTTTCATAATAAAAATAAATTCAGGAAGGTAAGTGGAGATCACCACTGCAGTCGGAGCTTTTGAGGAGTTTAGCTGCAGAAGACGTCAGAGAAATGGGATCATTCCTGGAGGTGGGATCTGGGGTCAACGGAGTTTTTTTCTTTTAAAATGACTGTTATGGTGGCATATTTGGATGATAGTAGAGAGCATCTACTACTTGAGAAAAAATGTGTGTCCAGTGAAAGGGAGAGAGGGGATGGATGCAGATGGAAGACTTCAGGTGGCAGGAGGGCATGGAACGTAGGTACAAACAGGGGTGCTGCCCATCAGGCAAGGGCTGGGGGACGTGTAAGGCTGGTGGCGGGACCCCTCCCTTCGCTATATCAAAAAAGAAAAGGCTCATGAGACCAGACCCGCCAAGGACAAAACTGCCAGGCCCCCCAGATGTCCACCCAGATAAGGAAGTTTTGGCTCCTGAATTCCACAAATACTTCCAGCCCCTGCTATTTCTCAATGACCACCCAAGGTCACAATGGAAAATCCCCAGCTCTTCCTGCCAAAAGTCCCTAGCTAGGCCCAAAGGGTATAAAAGGCCTCAGCCCCTTCAAACTGAGGTGACTTCTCTTGGGGGCCCCTCTCTTGGGGCCCCAGAATCTCGTCCAGGAGTGTATAATAAAGCCATGTGGTTTGGCCCCCACTCTTTCTCTCTGTCTGTCTTTTCTTTTCACCACTCCCGAAAAACCTTACAGGAGGCAGCTGTGGAATCCTCTGCTTCCCAGTAAGGTACAAAGCAAGGGCATCTGTCAGCTAAGAGTGAGGAGGTGCTGGAGATTCTAGGAGGGGAGAGAAGCATGAAATTCAGTCAGGAGAGTAGAAAGTGAAATGAACAGGGAAATGGAGAGGCAATGCCAGGAATCAGGGAGCCTTCTGAGGGTTATGTTCATGAATTTAAAACACTGACAGTGAGTTCCGGCAGGGACGTGGAAGACAGGGCACTCTGGGTTTAATAAAAGTTGGAGTTTGGTCAGGAAAATACAATGAGGGCAAGGAACACAGGAAGGGAGGGATGCATGCAAAGGAAGGATTATAAGATGAGCTGATTATAATCATGTTGGTCAGAACATTAGAGGGAATTTGCTGAAAATACATGAGTGAGTGGGAGGCTTGAAATGGGAATTGGGGAAGGATGTGCGAATTAACAAGGACAACATCTACAATATGGCTGTGGAGCAGGTGTCCTAGGTGGGTGGAAATTACTGGAGAAGAAGTGAGGGATCAAGAAGTTGGAGAACTGGATAGACTGTCTACGTGGATTTTGGAGCTTGTTATTTTTGCAGTTAAAATTTTAATCTCCTAAATCTTTACCTCGTATTCCCTTTATGGCATTCCGTTCTTGTTTTATGGCTGTAAAATTTTCCTGAATCTTTCAAAGGATGCTAGAGCTTTTATCTTTATATACATATAAACATTTTTATTTTGTTCTCCAAATTATGTCGGTTTTCTTTGAAGTGGATTGTACTACTGGTTTATCTTAATCATCCTCATTTGATGCACGTAGCAGGGAGGACCCACGCTCCAGAAACAACCACAGTGAACATCCTCTTAACGAAGGCCTCGCCCTCGTCCACGATTATCCTTGGGGTGAGTCTGGAAAGGCTGGACGACCGTCCCTCAGCCCCCTTTCCTGGGAAAGCTGGCGGTGGGCCCGTCGGCGCTCGCTTTCCATCTCTGTGGGACAGGGGAGAGAATATGAACGAGACGCCCAAAGCAGGAGCCTCGCTTTGGGGTCGTATTTGGAAGCCCCGGCTCCAGCGGCGACACAGGCGCCCGCCGGCAGCCCCTCTCGCCGGGCGCAGGCTGTGGGACGCTCCCCTGCAAGCGGGTCCGGGCGGGTCCCCGATCCGCCCCCGCCCGCGCGGACCGGAGCCCGGGAAAGGTCCAGGGCAGTTTGGACACAGCGGCGGCGGCGCGGGAGAGGGGGGCTGGGGGCCCCTCCGTGAAGGGAGATGAGGCGGCCAGGTTCCTGGAGCGTGGAAAGGGGTCTTGGGGACCAAGAGGGGCCTGAGGACACGGATCTGGGGGGACCCAGGGTCCTTCGGGCTGGGGCGGCGCCGCGCAGTGCCCGGAGCCCCCACGAGGGGGCGCGCGAGCTCAGCGGCGGGCGCGGGAGGCCGCGGGCAGCACAGGGTTCCCCGCCGCGCGCGGCCCTGGGCGGGGCGGGCTTTGCCCCTGCAGCGCTGCAGGCCCTGAGCAAGTCTTCGTCGGCTGAATGAGTGCGCTCCACACCCAGTGTCACCGCGGCATTAGACGCTGCTAGTTACAGCCACCGAGTCCCTCGCGGAGATTTGCACGGGAAAAGGAAGCCCGCTGGCTCCAGGCCTCTGTCTGGGGAGGAAATCACTGAAGGGGCGCGGTGGGGCCGGGGGGGAGCAGCCGGCCCACAGGCCCTGGGGTCCCCGTTTCTGCTCCAAGGCACCGCTAGGAGGGCCCCAGGGAGTTTCCTCGCGCTGGGCCAGTTTCCTGGGAGTGTTTCGGGTGGGGGACCCTCCCCCGCAGCGCACCCCCCCACCCCCCATTCCCGCCTCCTGGCTCAGACTCAGGCTGTTTCTGGCTGCTCATGCCTCTGGGAGGTCTTGGGCGTCACTTCTTCAGGAGGGGTCCTTAACCAGCTCCCCGTGATGTTGGGTTGAGTGAAGACCCCTCCTCTTTGTGTGTGGTAATGACAACGACAGACTCAAGGTCAAATCCCCATCAACCAGCTGGGGATTTGGGGCAGATCATTTAACCTTCTAGATCTGTCTTTCTTCCCAGTTACCCTGAGAAATGGGACCATTGAAGGCACCTGCTACAAGAGTAGTTGTAAGAATTTAATGAGAGGCTTTGTAAAGACCTTCAAACTTGACCCGGCACATAGCAGGCTCTTGACAGACCTCTGGGCTCAGTACCTGCTCACTGGGGACGGTGTGCCCACCTGAGCCAGGCTGACAAGGTGTTCTCAGAGGGAACCTGCCCAGCTCCTTCCTAGTCCCCTCCCCCATAGGCTCTGCCGGCCCCTGCTGGGGTCCTGGGAACACCTTCTCCCTCTCTCCCCTCTTCCTGCCCCCAGCCAGCTGCACAGCCTGGGCTGGGCAGCTCCTCTGTCACCGTGAGGCTTTCTTGCCCTGGCCTTGCAAGCAGCTGCCGGTCTCTGCATGCAGATGGTGCCAGCAGGTGACCCACACCCAGAAGGGCTGCTCCGTCTCCCCCAGGCCTCACTGCTGGTGCCCTTGCTCCACTTTAAAAGTGAATACTATGGAGGACTGGATTTTCTGCTCTCTGCATGCTCTGGGTGCTCATGGTCCTGGCAGAAATCTGGACATGGGCACTGCCAGAAGTTCAAAAGCAAAGAGTGGCGAGTCTGAGAGTGCGGTGGAGGCAGAGGGCACAGCTGGCCCCTTGGAATGGACCCCACTTTCCAGCACCCTTGCAGCTCGCTTCAGCCCCCATCCTGTCATTATGGATCCCAGAGTCTGGCCACATCAGCAGTTTAGCTACAGCCCCCAGGTTGGCCCGGAGTGTTCCCAAGTTGCTGTGGAAACAGATACTTTGAGATGCAGCCTTTGCTTCATCTGTCCAGTAGCTTCCCCAGAGTCCCTGGACCATTCCTGGTCCTGGAGGCCACTGGCGAGGCAGCTGGAAAGGGAATGTCCTCTCTGTACCTCAGAGCTCTTGAATGAAGGAGCCATCTGGGCTGGGAGCTCAGCCTGGGTTGCTGGGCTCCCCTGGGCTGTGTTAGAGCTGGCCTTGCCGGGCCCTCTAATGGGCTGCCTTCCTCTAGATGACTGTGACATGTGACTCACTGGAGGCCCAGCTGTGGGGTGGCCTCTCCTGCTTGGGTAGGAAGTGGTACAAGCCTTGTGAGCGGTCATCACTGCCTTGTGGAGAATTGTACGCGCTCTGGGCCATAAACTTCAGCCATGAAAAAACATCACACAGAACCCCACTCTTAAAGGCCCCTCCTCTGTGTTCTTGTAACCATTTAGCAGATGTTGAGGGGTCATCTAGCATGTGCGTGCTATGTGCTAAGTGCTGTGGCTGCAGGAACTCCTGACTCCTTTGCCTCTCTCTGCTGTGTGTGCCCTTCCTCCAGGTAGCTGCATGGCTCTGTCACTTCCTTCTGGTCTCTGCTCAAATGAACTCCCACCTCTGCAATCCTTGTCCCCTTATTCTGCTTTATTTTTTCTGTAGCACTTATTACTACTTGCCATGTAGATTTGTTTATTGTTTATCCTTCCCCATTAACATATAAGCCCCACAAAGACAGGGGCAATGACATATTAAAATATCTAGGGCACACACTGTTGTCTCAGCTACTCAGGAGGCTGAGGCAGGAAGATCACTTGAGCCCAGGAATTGGAGGTTGCAGTCAGCTATGATGAAGCCACTGCACTCTAGCCTGGGCAACACAGCAAGACTGTGTCTCAAAAAAAAAAAAAGCCAAACAGAGAGGTGGACATGGAAAGAAAGAGGAAAAAACCCCAAACAAACCATTGAAATCTTCCACTGAAATTATAAAACACATGAAGAATTCTAATGTTAAGAAAGACAGACAACAAAATCTACAATCAGAAGATGAAGTCACTGCAGGTAACAATAATTTTATAAAATAGTTTGACAAATACTTTAAATAAATATGTTTAAGGAGCTCAAAGAAATAACTGAAGAAATAGTTCTGTTAAATAAAAAAGGAACAAGACATTCAAATAAGCAGAAATAAACCAAGAAGTGGAAATGGGGAAAAAATTAGCTATTGAAAAAAATGCAATAGGATAAATTCTAAAATGGCACCAAACAGTGTATTAATGAATTTGAATATAGTAAGAAAGAATTAGCCTAGAATGCAGCACAGACCGATGAAGAGATTAGAATAAAGACTAATTAAGATATGTGAATGATTGATTGAAAGAGGCTCCAAGGTAAGAAAATAGGAGTCTCAGAGGAAGAGAGTAGAGAAGTAATATTAGGATCAATAAAGCTGAGAATTTGCTGGATTGAAGAGAACATGAATTCTTTGATTATAAGTGCACTCGAGGTGCTAAGCAAGGTAAATATTAATAAAAATAAGTGTACACCTAGACACATTGTACTGAAACTGCACAGCATGAAGGATAACGAAATAATCGAAAAGCATCATAGGGAAAAGATAAAATCCACTTAAAGCCATGTCTGTTAGACTGTCAACCTACTTCCCATAAGCAGCAATACCAGAAGACAATGCAGTAATATCTTTAAAACCCTGAGTTTACATGCAGCTAAATTATCATTTAGGAACAAAGACAAAATAAAGATATTTTCAGACAAACAAAGACTGAGAGAATTTACCTCCCACAGATGTTCATTCCAAGAAAAAGTCATTTGGCAAGAAGAGAAACGAACCCAGAAGGAAGATGTGGGTTGTAATAAACAATGGTGAGCATAGACATTGATAAAATGTTAGTAAATTTAATTAACTTCCAACTTTAAAAAGAAAGCTTTTATCATTTAAAAAAGGTGAGATAGAAACTCTAAAAAGATAATATGAACATAGGGAGGGATGATGTTCAGTTGGTGATTAAAGTAAATGAATGGACTTCTGTTTGGAAGGAGAATAGAACTATTAAATTTTTATAATGTCAGAAACATTTATAGTTAAGTATGCATATTAAGAATGTAAAAGTAATTATTAAAGGTAAAGAAATAGAATCCTTATCTTTCAAATCAGCAGAAGAAATGTAGAAAACTTGATCAATCTAATGGAAGGCAATAAAAGAGAAAAAAAGAAGCAAAGAAAAAGGATGTAAACATAAATTGTAGAAATGAGTTCAAATACATCAGTAATGAAATTAAGTGTTTGGCAGGGCACGGTGGCTCACGCCTATAATCCTAGCACTTTGGGAAGCCGAGGCCGGTGGATCGTTTGAGCTCAGGAGTTCAAGACCAGCTTAAGCAAGAGGAAGAATGCCGTCTCTACTAAAAATAGAAAGAAATTAGCTGGACAACTAAAAATATATAGAAAAAATTAGCCGGGCATGGTGGTGCACGCCTGTAGTCTCAGCTACTCGGGAGGCTGAGGCAGAAGGATCGTTTGAGCCCAGGAGTTTGAGGTTGCTGTGAGTTAGGCTAACCCCATGGCACTCTAGCCCAGGCAACAGAGCAAAACTCTGTCTCAAAAAAAAAAAAAAAAAAGTAAATGGAAGAAAAAGTAAATGGAAGAAAATAAAATAAAGACAAGAGTAGAAATTAATGAAATAGAAAATAAATGATAAAGGGAATCAAAAATAAAAACAGGTTGAGGAATAAGAGAAAAGGCATAAGTTATATTAAAAATGAAAAACGGTATTAGTATCACTAACGGATAAAGACTAAAACTCATCAGATTAACCACACATATAGCAGTCTAAAATTTAAAACTACATTTTCCAGACTCTCTCTCAGGTAGGCATGGCCCAATGAATAGGTTCTTGTCCATGAGATGTAAACAGAAATGATGTTACAACTTCTGATCTAAGTCCTTCAAGGGCGGGGCTGTGCCCTTCCCTTTCTTTTTCCTTTCCTATTTCCTGGAATGCTGACTTGCTGTCTAAAGTTAGAGCAGCCATTCTGGAACGTGAGAAGTGATCCTCATATTGAAGATGGAGGAGAAGGTGGGGAGGGAGCCCAAGTCCCTGAGGACTTAGGAACTTCCAATCCAGCTTTGAAACCCTGATAGAAATAAACATCTAAGCCCAGCGTGATGGCATTCGCCTCTAGTCCCAGCTACTTGGGAGGCTGAGGCAAGAGGATCGCATGAGCCCAGGAGGTTGAGGCTGCAGTGAGCTATAAACATGCCTGTGAATAGTTGCTTCTCTCTACTTTGGGCAACATAGTGAAATCTCATCTCTGTAAAATATAAAAAGAAGAAATAAACTTCTAACATGTTTAAGCTGCTCTTTTGTTACTTATAGTCAAATATAAACCTGTGTAATAAAACTGATAAAAGGGATCTATCAAAAACTTATGGCAAACACAGCATAAGAGGAACTTTGGAATTGTTCCTACAAAAATCAGAACCAAGACAAAAATTCCTACTACCACATCTGTTCAGCATTGCACTTTATAGCCTATGCAAAATGACAAAAAAGAAAAAGAGAAAAAAGTGTAAGAATTGAGAGAAATGGAAAATAATGTTCCCAGTAGCAGATATAATGATTTTCTATATAGAAAATTTAGCTTTCCAGGTAAGGTTGATGGATTGAACACATGAATTTAATTTTTCTCCCGCCTGATATGCCACTAAAACTATAGCAAAGGGATTTTTAAAAATTAGACATAAATCTACAAGGACAAGGAAAACCAGAGAGAAGTTACCGGCAATAACATTTTAGAAAGGGGGAAGCAGATGGACAAAACGTTACTGACTTAGCAGGTGCAAGAAAGCCGCACCCCAGCCTGACCCTGGTTAAGCGGGCACCAGCTGACCCATCCAGCCCCGGGAACTGGCAGCCTCTGCTACTGCTGGGGCAGGGTGTGCCGGGGAAGACCATGATAATAAGCGGGATCATTGGTTGAAAGCCATTTAGGAGGCAGTCAGCCCCAGGATCTCAGCCCTCCCCCATTTCCACACTGCTGAGCATTGCCCCCTCCCTCCCTGGCAGAAGTCTGGGGGATTGTTTTTCTGGACTGAGAAAATCAGTTGTGAAGACTAGCCAAGAAAGAGGAAAATAAGTTATTATATAATATATGCTTCACGACGACTGAAATTGTCTAGCTTTCTTCCCTGCTAGGTTCCCAAGAAGAAAGCCCTGAAAGTACTGCCACTGGGGCACGCCACACAGTCCATCCAGATGGCTCCACGAAGAAGCTCAGAGTTGACACCCCCACGCCCTCCCCACACCTCCCATGGGCTCAGAGCTCTCCAACGGCTTTGTGGCTTGCTGCTTTTGGTCATAAACAAACAACCAAGGATTATCAGCATCTGAAGAAAGCCTCTAGCATGAAAGAAAGGAGCCAAAACAACATTAAGGAAAGAGTACACAGGCACAAACAGACTGGGAAAGCAGAAGAGAACTTAAAAAAAAAAAAAAAAAGCTGAGCTATCATATACATACCTTTAGAGGCAAAAGAGAAGTTTTGTATCCATGAAATGAGAACAGGATGCAGTTCTGTTTCTTACCAAGATGCTGAACTATCACAACTTCTGACTCCTTCTCTAGAGATCAATGCCAGAGGAAGTTTTGGGGCTGGGGAACACTAAGAAAGCTCTGAGGAATCTCTGGGAATGGTTGGAACTGTTTTCTTGCTTCTTCTCTGTCATTATTTTGGGAGAAATACTACCTGCTCTAAACACAGCTGCTATGACTCAGACCGCTGGTCCATGGGTCACCAAGAGTAAAATTAGAAGCCCTGCACTTGAGAGGAGCTGAGAAAAAGAGAGGGACTAACTTTCTTTGGGTAGTTTCTTTTCACTCTACAAACCCTCAAGGCTGGTAAATCATCAAGTTTCACCTCCTAACGCTGCTTTTCCCAGCAGAGAGGAACGAGGGTATGAAGAATGATGCCCTGGCACAAGAAGTTGTTTTGTGGGTGAGGACTGAGGTTTTCTGAGATCTGGGGCTTTCCATCCTAAGTCGCATTTGCTCCACCCCCATGCCCACAGAGCTAACCGTGACTGACCAGCTCAGAGGTCTGGCCTTCCGTGTTGCCTGACAGAGTAGCCAGTTCAAATGAGCACTGAGGAGCACAAATATTTCAAAAGGAAAACAAAATATTGGATTTCAGATTCCATGAGAAGCATAAATATTAGAACAGACAGACCAAAGTTTTTAAATTAGTCTCACGTGCAGAGAAAGATAAAGGAATGATATAGCACATCTTATATTTTCCTGGTTAGAGCTGGAACCCATACTACTAAGTGAAGTATTCCAAGAATGGAAAAACAAGCACCACATATACTCACCAGCAAACTGGTATTAACTGAGCAGCACCTAAGTAGACACATAGGTACTACAGTAATAGGGTATTGGGCAGGGGTGAGGGGGGTGGGTATATACATACATAATGAGTGAGATGTGCACCATCCGGGGGATGGTCATGCTGGAAACTCAGACTTGTGGGGGGAGGGGGGAAAGGGCATTTATTGAAACCTTAAAATCTGTACCCCCATAATATGCCGAAATAAAAAAAAAAGAAAAAGAAAGATAAAGGAAGATAGATATAAGCAGTAGGAAACAAAATAAAGACACAAAAAACCAAGCAGAAACAGAGCATTATGTATGAAAAATGTAATATAGTTGAAATATAATATTAGGATGGAGAATATGATAGTTAAAATGAACAAAATGGTTAGGATAATTATAGGCTGAGGAGTGAACTGGAGGGTCTTATGAGGAAATCCTCAAGAAGGAAGAAGGAAAGGACCAAAAAGTAGAAAATAGAAAAGAAAAACTAAGAGACATGGAAGTCATTAAACCAAGCCTGCATTTAGGGGAGGGGAATTAGGCTCCACCTTTTGAAGGGAGAGGTGTCAACAAATTTGTGGATATTCTATCTACCACACTAGGAGTGGATATTTTTAAAGAATCTATTCTGCTTGAGATAAATTAAGATTAATATTTTTCATCAATTTTAGAAAATTCTCAGCCATTGTCTCTTCAAGTCTCTTCTATTTTTTCCTCTGGGACTCTTGTTAGACATATATGAGACTGTCTTATCTCTTAACCTTTTTCCTAGTTTCTATGTCCTCATCTGTACTAAGTTGTTGGTGGCATCTTCATATTTATCTTCCAGTTCACAAATTATCTCCTCAACTAAGTCATTTGGATCTACTATGCCATTCACCACATTCTGACTTTTTAATTTTAAAATTATATATATATATATATTTTTTTTTTTTTTGAGACAGAGCCTCGCTGTTGCCCAGGCTAGAGTGAGTGCCATGGCATCAGAGCTCACAGCAACCTCAAATCCTGGTCTCAGCAATCCTTCTGCCTCAGCCTCCCGAGTAGCTGGGACTACAGCATGTGCCACCATGCCGGGTAATTATATATATAGATATATATATATTAGTTGGCAATTAATTTCTTTCTATTTATCGTGACGAGACGGGTCTTGCTCTTGCTCAGGCTGGTTTCGAACTCTTGACCTCGAGCAATCCGCCCGCCTCGGCCTCCCAGAGTGCTAGGATTACAGGCGTGAGCCACTGCGCCCGGCCTAAAATTATATTTTTAATTTCTAAAAGTTATACATTGTTTCAGTGTGCATCAGTTCTTCCCAATTTTGATAGTCTTTCATTGCTAGTCTATTTTTGTGATTCAATCTTCTATTTCTTTACACACTCCCTACACAGTTATTTTATGCTCTCTATCTAATTATTCCAACATCTGGCATCCTTGGGGACTTAACTCTTTTGTTGGTTGTTTCTCCTGCCTCTCAATTATGGGAGTTTACTTCCTTGTATCTTTGCTGATTTTTTTACCCATCCCTCACCCCCTTCTGATTTTTTATTGTGAGTTCACATTGGCAAATATTCATCTGTAGAAATCTTTAGGCCTTAATCGAAGATGACTTTCTTCAGAGAAGAATTCACATTTGCTTTTTCTGGGTGCCAAGGGACCAACTTGATCACTCTAGCCATCATCCAAGATACTAGCTTACTGCATGTATTTTGATTCAGCTTCTCCTTGCTGCTGGCCCAAAGGTTAGCCTTGCAAAATTTATCTTGCTGCTCTTATACATTTGAACATTTGCATATAGGGCAACTCCATCTCTCCTGTATGGTTAGTCCTTCACTTGGTTTCAGCTCACTTGGTCCCTTGGAGATTTCACATACCTCCTGCAATCTTGGTTGTACAAGAGGAATCATGTTTCCAGCAGGATAAACATGACTGTGACAAGACTTGTCAGAGTGTTGAGGCTGCTACTTGCAGAAGGAAAGTCCCAGGAATTCTTTACTGTGAAAGCAAACAGAAAAGCAAATAGAACTATAAAGAGAATTCAGCAAGTTTGCTGAAAGAGGTCAACATAGAAAAATCCATTCTATTCCTATACACACGTAATAGCCAATTAGAAAACATAATAGAAAATAATATCATTTATAATTATAATAAACTTTAATATGCTTGCATATCTAGCAAAAGATATGCAAGATCTTTTTGGAGAAAAATCACAAAAATACTATTGAAGGACATAAAAGAAGATCTGAATAAATGGAGATTTTTAAATGTTCCTGGGTAATATTCATGGGTTGGAAGATACTATCATAAAGGTGTCAGCTCTTTTCAATTTAATCTATAAATTTAATGCAATGTAAATGAAAATTTCTGTGGATTTTTTTGTGGAACTTAACAAGCTTATTCTAATATTAATGTGGAAGAACAAGAGGAAAAGAAGTGCTAAGATGATTGTAAAGTGGAGAGGAGGGGGACTTTTCTATACAAGACATGAAGATTGACTATAAAGTTATACTAAGACAGTGTGGTATTAGCACAGAGATAGAAAAGTAGCCCCATGAATTAAAATAGACTAGAGTCCAGAAAATAATCCCACTCATATTTGGAAACTTGATATATGAGAGAGGTTGCATTACATTAGTGGAGAAAAGAAGGACTATTTAATAAATAATGCTGGGACAAATTATTATCTTTATGGGATAATAAATCTCCCCAGATACCATGTCAAAACTCTGGATTAAAGGCTTTAATGTGAAAAGCAAAACTTTATAATTCTTAGAAAAAAACACAATAAAGCATCTTTGTGACCTCAAGTCGGAAGGGAAAGGATTTCTTAAACAAGATGTAAAAGCTCCCAATTCCAGAAAATGATTGGTAAATTTGACTTCATTAACATAGTTAAAGACAAGACATAGACTGGAGAAGATTTTTGCAATGCAAATAACCAATGAGTTTTAAAGTCTGCCAGACAGTGGTGGTGGGTGCCTGTAGTCCCACTTACTGGGGAGACTGAGGCAGGAGGCTCACTTGAGCCCAGGAGCTCTGGGCTGTAGTGCACTATGCAGATTGGGTGTCCGCCCTAAGTTCGGTATCAATATGGTGACCTCCCAGGAGTGGGGAACCACCATGCTGCCTGAGGGGTGAACTGGCCCAGGTTGGACACAGAGCAGGTCAAAACTCCAGTGCTGATCAGTGGTGGGATTGCGCCTGTGAATAGCTACTGCACTCCAGCCTGGGCAACATAGTGAGACCTCATCTCTGAAAAAAAAATAGTATATACTAAAAAGTCTGACAAATCATATTTTTTAAAGATACAAGTTTCATCACAAATGATGCAAACAGTTCACAGAAGTGAAAGCCCACATGGTCAATAAGCATCTGAAAAACTGCTTGACCTCAATAGTAATCAGGAAATTGCTCACTAGATACACATCGAGATAGTATTGTTGGATATTAAACATTTAGTATTAATGAATGTTTGGGAGTGCAAACTGGTATAAAACACTTTCAAGAGCAATTCAGCAAAATGAAGCGGAGCTGAGGGGTATGTCTCCACCCCCAGCAGTTCCACTTGCAGGCATGTCCCTAGGGAAGTCACCATACATATGCATAAGGAGACTGTGTGCAGGAATGCTTACCCTTACTGGAGCACTGTTTGCAGTAATGAAAACCAGAATCATAAGAGAATGTATAAATTGTGATGGATCCATATAATAGAATACACTGCAGCAGTTAGAGTAAATGAACAAGAGCTACATATATCATTGTGGATGCCTCTAAAACCACAGGATCTAAATCAACCAAGCTGCAGAAGAATGCATACTGTATAATGCCATTTATAAAAAGTTTCAAAATATGCAAAACAATTCTAAATGTTGTTTATGATTATAGTTATTATATAAATTTGGAAAAGTATAAAAACCTGGGTAGGAAGTGAATGCAACAACATGTCAAAAATTGATAAAGCTGAATAATTGATAAAGTGAGTACATGGGCTTTTTATTATATTATTCTCTTTACTCGTTTCAAGTTTTGAAATGTTTAATTTAAAGGAAGCACTCTGCAGCTGTGTGGAGAGTGGATTAGAAGGGAGCAAGACACACTGGTGGCTTTTGCAGTGGTGGAGGGGTGGGGAGGGAAGATGGATTTTA